TTTTTTCTTGGGGTCCTGTTTAGCAGTACAGCCTGCTGCAAGCACAACGTCAGCTCACAGAAACTGAAATCTGTCTCCTTTGGCCATTGCAAATTGCACTTGTGATGCAGATTAGGACGATTCCGCTCACAGAACGCAATCGGTGTCTTCCCTATACAGCGTTTGTCCCAGCGGTGGATCTATATGTAACATCTGTGTACATACAAGAGCTACCCTCATCCTAAATATATATCAGAATATATTTAAAATATAAACTTAAGTAGAGTATATGATAATATATCTTGTTTCCCAGAAGGGAGGATAAGAGGAATGTACTTCACTGGTCACAGTAGGTTTAATTCTCAGCTTTTGCATTTGATAATGCAGAAAGTCTGTAACCGCGTGGGACTGTCCTTCACTGCTGCTGCTTCCCAGAAACAACCGGGTTGGTACCAAGTTGGTTCTTGTACTTCCCTCCGCATCAAAATAGCCGCTCGCCTTGCCTTTAGCTGCAGAATCTGAATTAACGCCCAGTCCTCGGGGGATGGATGTAGTACACGGTACAGCTTTCCACCAAAATAAGCCTGTGAGCGTGCTGGCCGCAGGTGACGATGGCATGCACTTCCTTTAAGCACCTGAGCTCAGCGTCTTCCACCTGTGTACCAGCACTGGGGGCCTGGCACCAGTTGCTCGTCCGAAGAGGAGTGCTTGCTTACTCGGGTAATGATCTCATTTTGACCTTTAGGTGGGTTTGGGTGATGCGCGCCTCAGGCTGCGGGGTAGATTTTTATGCTGGCTGAATCGAAAGCCACAGCTGAAAGCTTTTGCGTTACAGAATTCAGTGACAAATTAGATATGCAAATAACGTGCTTTTATTCCATAGATTCCACTATCGGCAGTTAAATTTAAACACTGGCCTTCCTTCACCTCCCACTGTTCAGCTGAACAGCTCTAGCAGTGTCTCGATGCCGTTCCCATCCACTCCGACACTCCAAATGAGTAGAGCTGCCGCTGTATTTGCACAGCAATAACCACACAGTTCGTGTTGTCTTCCGGTGTTAGCAGAATATTAGCTGGAGTTCATATAGGGGCGTTCATCTGTAGCTCAGGAGTTGCGTAAGGAAGCATGGATAATCCCTTCCCTGTTCCTGTCTCCAGCTAGAAGGCTGTGGCTGTGTAAAGTCACAGAGAAATGCTTACAGGTAGAACTTCCACTTTGTCTGGGTAACGTGGAAATGGGCATTAGGGCTTTACTGCTGGTAGGGTGCGACTTAATGCTGTGTTCTTTGATTCAGTCCCTGTGTCTTGGTGCTTATCGTTTCTGAATATGTCAAGTAAAGCAGTAAATGCCCGGAGAGGCCTCCAGCCTCATTGAAGCAGCACGCTGTCCCTGCCGAGTACTGTTCGCTATACAAAGGAACCATTACCTCGATTCACGTATGCTGAAATGTGCTGGTGAAGGTGTCAATCACATTTCAAAACTCTGTATCAACTTCCAAACGGTTTTTAAGCCTCTACTTGAATTCACATTAAACTTGCAAGCCTGCTTTCCCCTGACGTTGTTGTATTTTGTACTCCTTTCTCTGTGAGCTTTGGTGCAGCAGTGTGGAAATCCTGGGTGTTAGGGATGCGGTTTGTGTTCATCATCTTTGCTCCTTACATGCAGTAGCAGGGAAAAAAAATCCAAACCCGGGAGCATATTCCTCTGGTTCAGGTGCCCAGAGCTGTGCAGGGCACTTGCCGTGGGCTGGGATTTGCTTTTTTTCTGTAAGAGTACAGCACGGAGCAGACTGCAATCATCCTTTCGCAAACGGTGTTTTACACAGGGTTTTGCTTCCTTCCTGTGCCTTAGATTAGGCAGGGCATAAGCTTCTTAATTAATGAATTCTTCTAATGTGTGGCTGTTAAAATCTGTATGTGGAGAACCCCCTGTCTGAGTGTTGCAGCTTTGTTTTCCCAA